AATCTACACAAAATCTGTATAAATTCAACTGCAATTCAATTTCAAACTATTTTTAATGTGGTACTTGGTGCAATGATCCTAAATTTTGGTTGCCAAATAATTTTGAAAAAGAAGAACAAGGCCTGCAGGCAATGTAGAGGTAAAGGTATCAGTGGAACAGAACATAGAGCCCCGAAATAGACTTGGACATACACGGGAACATGGTATTTCAAATCAGTGAGGAAAGGATGATGTATTTAATAAATGGTGCTTGGACTATTGGATATTCATAAGGAAAAAATAAATAAATTTTCTACCTCACAGTATAAATACAAATAATTCACAAATACAAAAATCAAAACTTTAAAATATTGTAGAAGAAAATAAGGACTATAACTTGGATTAGGGAAAGAGCTCTTTAGACATAAAAAAAATAAAACTATAAAAGAAGATGCTAATGTCTACCATAAAGTTGAAAAAAAACCCTTTAATTCAGTTTTTAAAAAACACTATAGGCCGGGCGCTGTGGCTCACGCCTGTAATCCTAGCTCTTGGGAGGCCGAGGCAGGCGGATTGCTTAAGGTCAGGAGTTCAAAACCAGCCTGAGCAAGAGCGAGACCCCGTCTCTACTATAAATAGAAAGAAATTAATTGGCCAACTGATATATATATATAAAAAAATTAGCCGGGCATGGTGGCGCATGCCTGTAGTCCTAGCTACCCGGGAGGCTGAGGCAGAAGGATCACTCGAGCCCAGGAGTTTGAGGTTGCTGTGAGCTAGGACGCCACGGCACTCACTCTAGCCTGGACAACAAAGTGAGACTCTGTCTCCAAAAAAAAAAAAAAACACTATAAACACAAAGTTAAAAGATAAACTCTGAGGGAAGATACATGCCATATATATAACTGATAAATTCAAGCCAACTATTTAGCTTAAAATGGGTCTCCAATCTTAGTGCCCCTAGCCACACAGAAGAAACACAATGATCTCAGCAGGAAGGCACTTTTACCCTATGCCACAACAAATCCAAAATTAATTTTCTAAGAGAAATGGGCAGTTCACAGACAAAGATATCTCTGAACACCTGGAAATAAGGCCCTGTAAATGACAATCAGCTGAAACCACGAACAGCATAAACAGATCTAAAATGACTAGTACAATGAAATTATTAATACATATTAGGAAGAAATTGTGCTTATCTTTAGAAATAAAAGGCTTGAATATATTTATAGTGAAGGGGAATTTATTTAAAAATAACATAGCAGATCTAAAAAAATCAAATAGCAGGTTTTTTTTGTTTTTTTTTTTGAGACAAAGTCTCACTCTGTTGCCAGGGCTAGAGTGCCATGGCATCAGCCTAGCTCACACTACCCCTAAACTTCTGGGCTCAAGCAATCCTTCTGCCTCGGCCTCCAGAGTAGCTGGGACTACAGGCATTCACCACCATGCCTGGCTAATTTTTTCTATGTATTTTTAGTTGTCTGGCTAATTTCTTTCTATTTTTAGTAGAGATGGGATCTCGCTCTTGCTCAGGCTGGTTTCAAACTCCTGACCTTGAGGGATCATTCCGCCTTGGCCTCCCAGAGTGCTAGGATTACACTATGCCCAGCCCAAGTAGCATTTATTAACATGAAAGATAAAATAATTGAGATTTAAAGCACAAAAGATTTGAAATGGATTTAAAAAAAAAAAAGAATTTGTGAATTAAATGATGCTCCAGATGACAGTATCTTGAATGAAGTACAGAAAGAAAAGAGAAGAAAAATACAAAACAAATGTTGAAAAAGATGTAGAATAAAGTGAAAATATCTGACAAATATAGAATCTAAGTTCCAGAACACAGTGAAAAAAAAAAACAAGGCAGTTGCAACATTTGTAGTGATAAAAAGGGAGGGGTTTCTAAAAATTGATGAAAGATATTCATCTACTGATTCAAGAATCTCAATGAATCTTGAACAAGTTAAATAAGAAGAAATCCATACCCAGACATCCTGTGAAAATACAGAAATTCAAAGACAAAGAGAAGACCTTAAAGGTTGTCACTGAAGAAGTGGCATACTAACCTTGACTTCTCAACAGCCCCAGTGGAAGTCAAACTATTGGAATCTTCAATGTTCTATCAGAAAATAACAGCCTTAGTAGATTTCTCTAAACAGAAAAAATATTGTACAAGAAGGGAGATAAAATAAAGATATTTTCAGGCTAACAAAAAATGATGTACCATCATTAGACTGACTCTAAAGAAAATTTTAAAAGAAATACTTTAGGCAGGGAAAAGGTAAACTAATATGAAGCATTTGCTCTTCATAAGTTAACATTGAGTATATAAGATATTAATAATAATATCCTGGGCTGTTTGAAAGGGTATAATTAAAATACATGACAACAGTAACATGTAAGTTCAAGAAAGAACTGTATATAAATGGAATAAAGTGGCTTAAAGTCACAGCCAGGCACAGTGGCATGCACCTTTAGTCACAGCTACTTGGGAGGCTGAGGCAGGAGATTCCTTAAGCCCAGGAGTTTGAGTTATTAGTGTAGTATGCTACAATCACACCTGTGAGTAGCCACTACACTCTAATCTGGGCATCGTAGCAAGATCTTGTCTCTTAAAAACAAAGTTGTAATGAAGTAGTGCAAGGTTGGTTTGACACAATAAAAGAAACAATGTAATATACAACTTAAAGATTAAAGAATAAAACTTATGACCATCTCAACAGATGGAGTAAAAGATTATAATTTAATAAAATTCAACATACATTCATGATTTTTTAAAAATCTGTTTAGCAAACTAGAAATAGGAGGGAACTCCCCTAACCTGATAACGGAATTTATAAAAATCTACAGCAAATATTTTACTTAGTGGTAAAATGTTGAAAGCATCCCCTTTGAGATTTGGGAAGAAAAGGATTCCCATTATTACTAACACTATTCATTGATGTCCTGGAAATACTAGCTAGCAACATAACTTCCAAAAAAGAAGTAATTATAATGATCAGAAATGAAGAAACAAAGCTTTCTTTATCTAAAGTTGATATAATTACATGCAATGAAAATCCAAAAGAATTATAGATGAATTATTAACTTTAATAAGTGAATTTAGCAAGTCTCCTAGATAAAAAAAATCAATATTCAAGAATCAATTGCAGTTCTATATACTAGCAACAAACTAGAAAATTAAGTGAAAAGAAAAAGATAACTTTAACAATAACGTTCACAATAATAAAAATAATGCATTTAAGAATATGTCTAACAGAAGATGTACAAGATTATTTTTATATGGTACTTGAAAATTTCCATAGCAAAAGGTTGAAATTATATAGGTTGTTTTTTTTTTGTTTTTTTGTTGTTTTTTTTTTGAGACAGAGTCTCACTCTGTTGCCCAGGCTAGAGTGAGTGCCGTGGCGTCAGCCTAGCTCACAGCAACCTCAAACTCCTGGCTCAAGCAATCCTCCTGCCTCAGCCTCCCAAGTAGCTGGGACTACAGGCATTCGCCACCATGCCCGGCTAATTTTTTGTATATATTAGTTGGCCAATTAATTTCTTTCTATTTATAGTAGAGACGAGGTCTCGCTCTTGCTCAGGCTGGTTTCGAACTCCTGACCTTGAGCAATCCGCCCGCCTCGGCCTCCCAGAGAGCTAGGATTACAGGCGTGAGCCACAGCACCCGGCCTAGGTTGTTATTAAAAGGAGTTCAATAAGCTATTCAAACAAAAGAAAAATAAAACAGAACCCCATATCTCATACCTTACACGTAACAAATTTTAGGTAGCTTAAGGACGTCAATATAAATAGCAAAACTATAAAGTTTTAGAAGCTAATATAGGGAAAACATCTTTATGAGCTCAGAAGAAAGAAATATTTTATAAACTAAAGCAAATAAATATTAACTATAAACAAAAAAACATGATAAATAAAATTGCATCAAACCATGAACTTCTACCAGAAGACACCATAAGGAGAGTGAAAAGACAAACCAGAATGAGGAGTATTTGTAGTGCATATAGAACTTTTAAGTATGAGTAAGAAACTAAAAAAGGACTCACTTGTATTCACAATATATAGTACATATATCAATAAGCAAACGAGCAACAGATTTGGAATTGGTACTTCAAAACAGGAGAAATTCAAATAGTCGATAAACATATGAAAATTTTATCAACCTCCTTCGAAATCAAGGCAATGTAAATTTAAAACAATGACTAGTTATCACTTTGTACCCAGAGATGGGAAAAAATTTTAAAGTTTGACAATAACAAATCATGAAGAGAATGTAGAGTAACAGGTGCTATTATACACTGCTGATGGCAATGTAACTTGATATAACGTTCTTGGTTTAGCTTTTATAACAATGTTGAAGATGCACACACTATGATCTAGTAATTCCACTTCTAGTTAAGTCTTGGAAATCTCCTGCTCACAATCACAAGGAAATATATGCAAGAAGGTGTATTGCGACGTTGTTCAAAATAGCCCAAAACTAATAAAAATGTCCATCCCCTAAAGAATCAACAGATTGATGTATATTATAAAATGGTATTCTACAAAATAATTTTTTGAAAACTACAACTACTCCTGATATTACTGAAACTCAGAGATACAATATTGAGCTAGAGAGGCAAGTCATAAAAGAAAACACAGAGATAGAATTATTCCATGTACATAAAGTTTAAGGTCAAGGAATATAAATCTATAGTGTATAAGGAAGCACCCATACATGGCAAGACTTTAAAGAAAAGCAAATAAGTATCATTAGTTAAAAAAAAAACAACAAAACAGAGTAGGTACTATAGAGGGGAGAAGTGAGGTGATGTGATGGTGCCAACTTTATGAGGGACTTCCAAGGTTCTGATAATATTGGCAATATTCTGTTTTGTCATATCTGTAGTCTTTACACAGGTGTCTAGTTCATAATTATTATTTGTTAACTATTAATATATATAGTTAAATACATATATGTAGTATGTACTTGATTTTTGTTCTCCCTCACTAAAAGTAATATTCTTTATTGTTAATTCTAGACCATACAGCAAAAGAAAATAAGAAGACGGTATATAGGAGAGACACTCAACACCAAGGACAAATTTCATCAGGTTCAATATTTAAATGAAAGTTATTCTCTTTGAGCAAAACCATAGATGTTGAGTAGTTGTTCCCTTATCATCTGTTAACCTTTTCTCATCTCTCTGCTGGGTGGTTTGTTTTCCCTTTATATTGCTTCTACCTCCAAACATACTTTTAAAACTTAAATTTTGAAACAAATTTTTACTCTGTTGTCTTTCTCATATTCTTACAATTCGGTTCTATGCATTTCATTTTTATCCTTTATTATGGGCCCTCCTTCCATTTTGTGTTTCACATGTTCTTTTTACATTTAAGGTCCTCAGAAAGTTCTCTATGTGAATATTCATTTTAAAAATGGCTTCTTTTTATCACCATTAGTGTGATTCACAATTGAACTATCAAAAAATTTTATTATTTTTTCAGCATATTATGAGGGTACAAGTGTTAAGGTTACATATATTGCCCTTGCCCCCCTCCCCCCTCGAGTCAGAGCTTCAAGCATGTCCATCCCTCAGTTGGTGCGCATCGCACTCATTATGTATGTATATACCCATCCCCTCCTCCCCCCTCCCATCTGCCCGATGCCCAGTAAATGTTATTCCTATATATCCACATAGGTGTTGATCAGTTAATACCAATTTGCTGGTGAGTACATGTGGTGCTTATTTTTCCATTCTTGGGATACTTCACTTAATAGAATGGGTTCCAGCTCTATCCAGGAATAAACAAATGATGCTGCATCACCGTTGTTTCCTACAACTGAAGAGTACTCCATGGCACACATATACCACATCTTATAGAATTTCATGACTCACTCCTATCTCTTGAAACAGGTTTTTTTCAGTCTTAAATCATGGGATTATATATACTTTACCTTGAATGTTTAAAAATTTGTTTCCTTATAATGTACAGTGCCTGCCATACTCAATATCTGCTTCAAATTCCAAAATGACATAGTCATTTTCTTCCAAAGTTCCCATCAATTATGAAATTCAACTATATTAGTCTTCTTTCAGTACATAACAAGTGACTACAAACTTTGCGGCTTGAAGCAACACCCATTTTGGTGCTCACAGTTTTGCTGATTAAAAGTCTGTGCATAATATGGCTGGATTCTCTATACAGGGTCTCATGAGTCTAAGACGAAGTGTTGACGAGCCTACTTTTTTCATCTGGAGCCCAGGGTCCTCTTTCAAGTTCATGTGGTTGTGGCAGAGTTAAGTTCCTTGCAGATGTAGAAATGAAATATTCACTTCCTTTTATCATGTAGCTTTCTCCATCTTCAAAGCCAGCAAGAGTGTTGAATCCCTTTCACACATAGAATCCCTTTAATGAAGAAGAATCCAATCCCTTTTAAGGATTCATCTGATTAGCTTAGGTCTACCCAGAATAAGTTTCTGTTCATAAAGTCAACTGTACCTTAGAACAGAGCCTAATCCTGAGAGAGACTCTCTCAGGATAGTCATATACATAGTTTGTACACCAGAGATTGGGTAGGGTTCTTGAGAGTCATTTTAAAATATAATTCCACACCAACTAATTTTACCAGTAGTTTAGAATTAAACTAGAGTATAGAGTATTCTACTTTTTAACTTGTCTATATTTGGGATCATTCTATGGACTGGACATTTTGCTAGGTGGTGCATATTAGTTTATTTAATCTCTTAACAACTCTATGAAATAGGTACAATACTGAATTTCGGAGTCACGGTAAAATTTTTACAAGTTTCCAGATTAAAATATCAGAGCAAAAATTCAAACCAAGCCATATCTATCTTGAGAGCCTTCCTTCTTAATCACTCTGCTAAACTTTCTGTTTTTGCCAGTGTTCTTACATGTGGTCTATCAAGAACAAATTCCTCTTATCATCCTCCAGCTCACTATGCAAACTAGAATTTGTTCCCCCAACAAATATTTTTCTTTGTCTTTTGTCCATTGTCAAAAATCCCTTTTTGGCATTTGTCCCCTGTCAGTGTGCCTTGGGCTTCTCCCAGGATAGTAGCTGTATTCCCAGAGGGAGCCTCCCAGGAAGGTGTGAGCAGGAAGTACACATTCCTAAGACCCAGGCAGAAGCTGCAAACTTCTGACAGAGCCTCGGAAGTCATCTGATATCACCTCTGCTGCATTCTATTGGATACAGGCAAGTCATTAAAGCTGGCCCTGATCCAAGGGGAGAAAAATAACACTCCATCTATCAATGGGAGAGTGGCAAGGACACACTGCAGAAGAGTTCCTGGGATAGAAAACATTGTTGTAGCACTCTTTGGAAAATATGATCTATCACATCCACAGTTTGAAAAACATTTGTCTACTGAATAATGAAACATATATTTTCATGCAGTTTGTGACAGGCTGAATTGCATCCTCCACAAAGATATGTTGTAGCCCTGTGAATATGTCCTTATTTGGAAATAGGATTTTTGCAGATGATGGTGTTAAGATCAAGTCATTAGGGTGGGTGCTTAATTCATTGTAACAGATGTTCTTATGAGAAGGAAAGAGAGGAGAATGTCATGTGAAAACACAGAGAGAGACACACAGAGAAAAGACGATCTTAGAATCAGAAACAGAGATTGGAGTTATGCTGCCACAAGCCAAGGAATGCCTGGAGCTATATCAGAAGGTGGAAGAGACAAGGAAGGAGTCTCTCCTGCAGGCTTCAGAGAGAATGTGGCTCTATTGACAACTTTATTTTGCACTTCTCACCTCCAGACCTGAGACAACAGATTTCTGTGATTTTTAAGTCACCCAGTTTGTGGCACTTTGTTACAGCAGCCATAGGAAACTGATATACAATTCATTCATTCTCAATACAAATATTGTATATACCATTCCACATTTTAATTTTTTCATTTATATGTGCTCATATGTAATTAATTAAAATGTAAAATTTGCTTTACTTTGTACTAACACTTTCTTCCTCTGAAGACATCAATATTTTTATCAACTCATTTTCTTTTTTTTTTTTTCTTTTTCTTCTTTTTTTTTTTTGAGACAGAGTCTCACTTTGTTGCCCAGGCTAGAGTGAGTGCCGTGGCATTAGCCTGGCTCACAGCAACCTCAATCTCCGGGGCTCAGCGATCCTACTGCCTCAGCCTCCCGAGTAGCTGGGACTACAGGCATGCGCCACCATGCCCGGCTAATTTTTTGTATATATATTTTTAGTTGGTCAATTAATTTATTTCTATTTTTGGTAGAGACGGGGTCTCGCTCAGGCTGGTTTCAAACTCCTGACCTTGAGCAATCCGCCCGCCTCGGCCTCCCAAAGTGCTAGGATTACAGGCGTGAGCCACCACGCCCGGCCCTATCAACTGATTTTCTGAACACTTTTACCTGATAAACTCTGGATGTTTTTTACAACCAGTTTTTAATCTCTATTGGTCACTGTAGGATTTGCTAATAGTTTTCTTTGGCATTTTTTTCCTTCCCACTCTAATTATGTATGATTAGTCAAATTTGTATGTAGCACGAACAAAATCAAGCTATTTTTCTGTTTCGCTCTGTAGAATTCCTTGTTATTCACTCCCACTTTACATCATTTCAACTGAGCCAATTCTACATTTTCATTAAAGGGCTGTTATTGTTTGCAACCCAACTCATAGTATCAATATCCTTAGTTAATACTATTTTTACTAAAGTAGAAGAATATAACTTGAATTAGCTTAGTAATTTGTTGCCAGACTATAGGAGTGCCCTACAGAACTAAAGGGCAAAAATGGAGCTAAGCCTCACAGGACTTTAAGCAGAACATGGATATCATTAAGGAGGACAGAGAGTACTCTCTCATATTAATTTTTCTCCATGCATGTATTTCATTCCACTCTCTCTATTTAGCCTGGTATTCTCTGCTTCCTAGTCCCATCCTGAAAGATAGCCATGCCCCGGCTCCCAGGCATACATTACTATAATTCTAATTGTTGCAGAGATGGATTCACTGTCTGTGAGTGAATCCCAATTCCAAATCACTGATGGAGAAAATCTGACCAGCTATTTGGGCTGGGGGTCCATTACAGGTCTAATTAACTGGCGCTGAGGGCAAGGTCACTAAACAGGTGCTGTGTAGGGGAGGACAATAGTCCAAGAAGGAGTGAAGGGAAGGTGATTTAACGTGCACATTCCATTGGAAACAAATCTCATTTTTCATGTTATCCTTTCTTATCTTTCAAAAGTTCTCTTTCTGCTTCCCTTCTAACCTGAATCTCTCTCTTCTTCCATGTAGCACCCAGCTACCCTGCCTTCTTTTTCTTTTGTTCTGATTTCCCTTAGAACTTGAGATTCCTCTGTCTGTAACCTACACTTTCTTGTCTGTGCTTTTGGTGCCAGCCTACACCCACCCGTGTGTTGGGTGTGTGTGTGGGGGGTGGGGAATGGGAAAGCATCATATTTATTATTGCATCATTCCTAAAACATATTGCTATAAATAAAAAGGAACTCTGGTGTATAAAATTTCTCTATCCTAATACATCTATTTACTTATTTATCCTTGATGTTTATCCTCTCTCTTCTTAAAATTGACTTGAGGCAGATGGCCTCATCACTACATCTCCCTTTTTGTTCCTTCCTTCCTTCCTTTCTGCATCTTGTCTTCCAGTGCTGTCTGTGTTGATGCTCAGCCATATTGGTGGCTCTAAAGTCTGCAGGAATTTCTCATCCCATTGACATCCTTGGTTCTGGACTTCATTTCTGGTTCTGCCTCTGAACTTCTGAATTCACATTTGGAAAGATATATGGGAACTCATACGGCATCTTGGAATGGGTTTGCTGGAATAGGAGACTAAAATATGCTACCCCAAAATGCCTCTTTGGCATAAAACTTATTTGAGCTGATTATTTTGAGAAACAGCATACACAGGAGAAGCTCTGAAAACAGAGTATAAGTGGCCCTTTTGTAAAGGAAACTTCTATTTATAAAAGAAGTCACCATTTGTAACGATGTCTCCCTCTCTGTACTAAGAAGAGAAGGAAAACTCCAAATCAAAAGAGACTCTTATCAATGGAAAAGGCACCAATTTAAATCTGCACTACCAACATTACTTTAGTTTACCATGCCTTCCTTGGTCACCTTCTCATAACCTCCCTCCCCACACCTTCCTTCTTTTCTTTTAGCTGAAGATGATATTATATTTAAGCCCAAATTCCAGCCACCTCTTTGAGTTATTCCCATGTATATATGAGACATACATTTTAATATGCTTCTGTTTGTTTTTCTCTTGTCAATCTGTCTTTTGTTATAGGAGCCCCAGACAAGAACCTAGAGAAGTAGGAAAGAAAGGATACTTTTTTTTGTCTTTACACTGGAAGCAAACTCTGAGCCAAAGAATCATTTGCAGAAGTTTTATTGGCAAGTACCATAGAATTGTGAGATACTTGGTGGGATATTTCTTTAAGAAAGTCTGGATTGGACAGAGCAAGAAGATGACCCTGAATACAGTTGCAATGGAGTCCTCAGCCCATCCTACCAGGTCCTCTGGAGCTGGAGTGGCTCTTCAAAGTTGTTCCAAGTTGAAACAAGCAAGCCAGGTATTTGTACTCCCGCATCAGTCAGTCATTTGTTATGGGATAACCCTTGGCCAAAGCAATGCCCTGCAACTCAGGCAGGGATGCAGCTGTGAACTTCTGAGGATGAGAGCCTTTATGATGAAGAAAGAATATGGGCAGAACACCAGAGTGACCATTATAAGTAACATCAAACAGAAAGGTCAGTAAAGTAAATGTTAGAAAACCTTGGCTTTGGTCCTGGCTTTGCCAAAACTTTGTGTTCTTAGACAAATCATTTTACCTTTATGGACTCTGGTGTCCCCAGTTATAAAATAAGATCTGCAGACAGTCCACAGGTATTTTATTCCAGAGTAACAATCTCCCATGTACATAAAAGTGGGCATGTGAAGGACGTAGTTATAATAATGAAATGTTCAGCAATTAGGAGGATAGTGCTTAATAGTATGGACATGCCCCAATTTTAAAGAATTAGATATGTCTATTTGTACTAACATGGAAAGCTCTTCAAAGGCAAATAAATAAATAAATAAAAGCTGCATACAAGCAATGGTATGATTCCATTTATGTATAAAATATATCTCACAAAACAAAACTATGTATGAAAATGTATTTGTTTTTGGAAGGGCAAACATCAAAGTAACATCAGTAATTGCCACTGGGAAGAGTTTAGAATTGGGATGGGGATAAGGGCAGAGGAAAAGAGAGTGAATTACTTTATATAGCTTACATATTTTCAATAGCCACATATTACTTATGTAGTTTGAGAGAAAAAGAACAAATATGTAGATGAAGCAAGGTGATTAAAGGTAAGCTCTGAAATTCCAGCTCTTGAAATTCCTTGATTTTAAGGACCATTCCTCTATTTTTACTCCACCTCCCTCCTGTCCGCCACAGTCCACCAAAACATTGGTAATCCTCACAAGATTGGGAGTGACCTTGGCAGCCAATTCAATCAAAATGATAGGGAGGGTGAGAAACCAGAAATAGAAATATTCTGCAAGAGTGACTGCCTCTCAAATTTAAATGAGTTAGCAAAGGAAACCGTAAGAACTATTTGAGTGATATGACCTCTATACTTAATTTGAGTTTCAGTTTGGTAGATGTACCAATAGCAAGAAGTACTAAACTTGCAATAGCTTCAAATAGATGTTAGCTGATCTACACAGATCTTTGAGAAAGGACTTTGACTTTTTGTATGGAAAGGGAAGTTAGCTTCCTAAGATTACCAACTTGGTAATCATCTTTTCAAAATCTGTATAAATTATTCTAAGGTATTCTTGATTTCCACCATTTTAAAGATAAGCTATTGAATCTCTGAAATTAGAATAGTTGCTTTACATCATCCTTTAAAGTACCCTAAAGGTAAACCTTTTGAAGGAAGAGTCTATGCACACACTAAATAATATTTATAATTACAAATACTAAAGCTCTCCAATACTCATACATGTACAATGTTGAAATCCACTTTAATAATGCACAGAACATTGTAATGCTCTCCAGAATGTAGCCAAAGAAAGAATGATTGTTTCTTCTCTTTCTGCCAGAATGGGAATGTTTCAGGGAGAAGCCTCCTTAAAGTGAAGAAAAGGGTCAAATCCAATTAAATTTGCAAAGGAAACTTCGGAGAGGACGAATGCCATTAGCCCAAACTGGAATGTGGCCAAAACACAGGGTAATACTTCAACTCTTAGAAAAAGTGCCAGGGGGATATTTAACAACTGCAGGTGGCCAAATGGGCTTTCTCCTAAGTCTCATCAGAAAAGTCATTAATAGCAACAATATTCACCAAGTTAAAGTAATATTACTTGACAAACTGCATATTCAATTACTATGTTTTAAACTCTGACATTTATCGGGTATCAATTAAAACTACTTCTCTATAGAATAATAAATACAAAAATAAAATCCTTCTGTCATTAAGCAAGGTTAGAACATAAGAAATATTTGTTATTTAAATCTAGCATTGGTCTTTCCTTAAATGAAAAATCAATTATATTTTTGCCAATAAACGGGGCCTAGATATATGCATGTTTTTAATTTTTCTTCTGTTTTAGAAATCTTTATGAATTTTTAAATAAGATCTTATTTACCACAATATTTCCTTACTATATGCTATTTTATATGATTTCAATTGGTTTTATATTTCCCATAATCTGCATGAGAATGAGCTTGACTAGTTTTTAAACATGTATAAATTTATCCATGCTGTGAAATATTATATGATACCGTTTTATATTTCAAAAAATTTTTTCTTTTTATCTCTTTATTTCTTTTTAAATATTCTCTTTCTCTTTCTTCTAGGGTTGTAAGAGAAACATTTTGTGAACTGTGACATAAAGGCAATGGAAAATGCAGGCCTGTTAGTGACATAACACATCCACTCTTGAATCCTGCAAAGGATATTATGTGAGCAAATGCACATAGTGAAACCTAAAAAGGTTCCAGTTTTTAAATGCTGAATGCTTGAGAGCTCTGCTTGTACCTGCTGTGATTTAAAAGGCTAGAGGCCTCATTTTAAGCCACTAAAATTCAAAGTGACAGAAACCTACAAATTTTTATTGCTGTGCATTTAATAAAATTTACATTTACAAGCTGTCAGTTTGAAATGTTGAATAACTGGTACTTTTGCATTCAGAAGAGCAGATTTGGTTGTGTAGAGGGTTCATTACTACCTACTTACACGTTCCTTAAAAACTCAGAATAATCCTTCAATCTATGACTTTTGATATCTCTTAATTCAACACTGCACAAAAACACCATTGAGTTTGCAGTAAGGTCAACAAAAGGAATTTATTGTGCTCCCATAAAGCAAGGCGTAATTAAGAGCCCTTTCTGCTTGTTGTAATGTGCTAATACGAGAACATTAGAACCAAGGTACAATCCATTGCTAGGTGTCTGCAGCAGCTGCCTAGGTTTTTGGTAATTTACTTACTCAATTATGTCGACTCTCTTAAATCCACAACACTGGTGGGTGGTAAGGTAGAGGGATAATAAAAAAACATAGAGTAGGAAACCCCTTTAATGCATGTTTTATGTGCATCTTGGGTAACATTTTTTTGTTTGTTTGCTTTTGAGAACAAGAATTAAAGATTGTAACTTTAGGAAACTCTCAGCACAGGAATAAACGTGCATGGGTTTAAGACACCTCTAAAAATTATGAGATGTCTAATAATCCTATGATTATGGGGTCTGTTCTGAAAAAGAATATTAAACTAAATGTTTGACTCAGTATTACAAAAACAGATTATCTAATGGCTTCCAAGGGGGAAATATGAGAAAGACCATTCATAAAGTTCCTTAATAGTAATAAATTATACTCACTTCCTTATTTTCCACGTAAATGCAAAAACAAAGAGAAACTCTGATAGAAAGTGTTCTCCCAGCTTTATAAGGACCACCTATAGCAAAATCTCTTCAAATTGTTTGCTATCAATGTTAATCCAATATTCTTCTCAAATAAGCATCAGAAAATATGCTCACTACACTTATAAAATATCTAATTTTTCTTAATATTCAAAGAAGTTTTAAATGCCAACCTCAAAGGTTAAATTTTTAGAATGCATTTGTTTTATATTTAGGTCAAAATATAACACAAGCTGGGGGAAAAAAGGCCCAAAATAGAAAATTCAATCTGATTTACCTTGCCATTATTCAACTATGAAAAATTAAATTTTTGCACCAAATACAAACTACTGACTTAAACATGAAAATTCAAATTGCCTCTTTTTAAATTTTATTTAAATTATCTCTATAATTGTAGCATTCATATAAAAGGACAAATCTTAATGTGTTGATATAAATTGAAACTTAGAGAAAAAACAGGTTAAATAATTTTCTTCATATATCAAAATGTATGTATCATTCCTCATCCATTTTCTTTTCAATACATTAAGTCCCACAAAATGTCTTTGATGAACCAAATAATCTTTATTTTACAGCTCAAAAATTGTAAAAACATTTACAAATATCAACTTATTAGTTTTGATTACAAATTAGATATCTTTAAACTTTCCTCCCTGGAATTCTTTATATTCTCTTAGACAAGATGACATAATTAAAAATAAAAGAGAACAAAAAAAATCCTATTTTATAAAATTACCTTTCAGTCAATGTCTTTGAAATAATTTTTAATCTTTTGCCCCTAAGAAAAAAAAATTTTTTTCCATTTTGGTCTCAAGGGGATTGAAGCTATGAAATATTACATTATAGCCAATTATGTCCCATGCAATAATATGTTCAGTAATACAGGTACCTTTCTAAGTTTTCAAAAGAAATTTATGCCTCATTTTTTATTTTTAGTTACTAGAGTTGAATAGTTTGGAAAGAAGCCTATAAAATTTTTGTTTTTAAAATGAAAAGTAAAAACTGAACATGACTGAGAGGCTACAAAATGACAGAAGAATGTGTAAAATCCATCTTTTCTCTCTTTTTTTTCCCTTAAATAATGAAGTCACTGAGCTAGAGGAACTCTACCGAGTTTTCACTGTGCAAAGATCATAGAACTAGCCTCTATATGAATTATGTATGTTCATTTTCTCTAACATGAGCTACTTGATTCCCCTATTAATAAGTCCATTCTGAAAGTGTATACACTTTTAGAATATGTGGACGAAATTAATATCCATAACAGAGTAAAATAATTTCACCTCTCCAAAAAACTAACAAGATAATACTTTTATGGCAAACATAGCAGTGACGTCTGTAAGATAACAAATGCCAATGACTCCTCTAGTATGACATGGAAAGAATCTAGTTCAGAATGAAAAAGGAGGATCTTCTATCCTCATAAGCTTAGGCATGAAAATAGACTAAACACTATGTATGTGCTCACCTTTTCTCAAACACTTTGTTTCAATGTCTGTTTAAATGCTAGGTTTATTGGTTTAAGGTGTGCATTGAATATATCGGGTCTCTATTAATCTGACTGGTTACCTTCAAGATAACTGAACTTTAAATAACTAAAATAACATCAATATTAATATAATTGTATTTACTAACCTCCCACTACTTCCCCCTGCCTGGCATAAGTGTTGGAATTACAAGTCAGACAGGGCTGAACAGCAATCTTCAAGAAAATTGCTTTAAATTGGCCTTCATTAGCTCTCGCAGCACTGAAAAACAACTCCAAGTGCATGCCTATAGATGGTAAGCCAGTAGCAATACCTCCTTATTAAAAGGCAGCACATTAGTCTGCTCAACCGGCATTCATCACATTTGATAAATACTATTCAATAAGAATCTTCAACTGCAAAAGAAATCTACTATACTTAATCTAAGTATCAGGACTGTTAGGACCAAATTTAAAATCCAATAATGGCAAGTTTGTTAATTCCAGTTTACTTTTTTTTCAATTGTAGAGCACTGGAGATTGCAGCCGAACTTTTAAATTTCCTTTCATAATGTTCCTCACTTATAAATAATCAGTACTACACAATAACAAAGAATAAGGAAACTAAAACTTTCCTAAGAACTTCAAACTTAGATACCAACATCAAGAGGAAAATATATTTCAAAGTGAAGAGAAAATTCTTCTGTTTCATAGCTTTGCTTTGAAGAGCTCAGCTCTTTCTTGACATCTGCATAGTAAAAGGGAATTTAATTTCCTTGGTCAACTATCCTTTCTGAAAATTCTGTATTGGCAGACTTGGAAATGGAAGGAATTTTTCTCAGGGATTAATTCTCAGCTCTTCTTAACACTCAAAATGCTGAATATCTTCAGTACACAAGCCAGGGAATTTGGCCCTTGAAGTTACACTTTTTAGCAAACAAATGTTAAAATATATATACATATTTTTCACAGAAAGACTACACAAAATCTATCAGAATTCTGAATTGTCTGATATGAAACTGATATGCATATTAACTTCCCTAATTCAGCTCCCTCTGGTTTACAGCTTGAAAAAGTTCCAGCATTTCATCCTTTATATTGGCATTTCCGTTTCTAAACCTTACCATTGGTTTTGTTCCAAAAAATAACATTTCAAAACAGAACAGAAAAATGAAACATTTTAGGCCGAGCAAATAAGACCACCTTCTTGAAAGCCAGGTAATTTTTCTCAAAGTCTAAGTTCATAGCCAATTCTACCATCTCAACTTGAACCATTTTAATTTAGTAAACATTTTTATAAAATACAAGGTTCTGTTATTTCATGGGTCTGTTTGGGGAAGCATGGCTATTCATTTCAATGGAGGGCTGCAACTTAGAGTAGTGGCTAAAACTTGGGTCAATCAATCCCAATTTTACCATTTCCTATCTATATGACTGTAAGCAAGTCACTTACACTCTCTAAGGCTCAATTTTCTCATCTGTTAAGTGGAAATAATATCAAAGGTTTTCATAGGGAGGAAATGAAATAATGTTTGCAAGACATCAAGCATGGTGCCTAGCATATAATAAGCACTTAATAATGGTAGCTGCTAACTCCATGTTTAATTTGACAATTTTTTTTATTAAATAGGATATTTTTAGACCAAGATGACTATTCACATCTTTCAAAATTTTACCTATAAATATTTAATTCAGATGTTAATTGGTCCATTATAGAGTATTTACAACCACCAGATAAAATGTGAAAACCTGCATCATTCAAAAAACACTTTTTTACAAAAAAAAAAATAGACAGGTGTTTCTTTTTCCTCCAAAATATTGGTTATCTGTTCCTATATACAAGACAAATGCAACTTTTCACTTTTTTCCAAAGACACTTTGCCATTTTAAAAACAAATATGGTATTTTTCTTCTTATGCCTCTTGCATATAAACCAAATAGTATTTTAACACTTATTTCAAGATTCTTCCTGAAGCTTTTTCTTACATAGTCTACTATCAAGTAGAATTTTAAGCCTTGCTCTTTATTCAAATTCCATATTCAAACAAGCTAGTTATTTTTTGCAAGATTCCTATTTCCCCCCCCCCAAAAAAAAACTAAGAAAAAATTATATGAAAGTCAGGAGCATGTACAGTTTTTTTTTCCCAGTTCTGTCGAATACATAATTTTTTTCGATACAAATAATGTAAATTAATTCTCTTACATTGCAACAGCCATCAGGATCCAAAATTAAATATTTCTATATCAGGCCTGTTCTTTACCAAGCAAATCCATTTCCAGGGATCTAATTGTCTTATCAAAATTATTTTTAATTTTATGATTGAGAATAAAGGGGTATAGAAATTCAAGGTAAAAGTCACCGGTAGCTCATTGTCTGTGTGGGGAGAGGATAAGAATTATTTCAAACTCATTTGCATTAAGGGAGAGAACTGGGTATTCTGTTAAGGGAGCTGGGCAGCTTCAATTTGGGTTTCATATACATAATAAAGTTAGGAGGACGACCCAGGAAAGCCAATGGCCGCAAAAAAAAAAAAAAAAAAAAAAACTCCCAATACAAGACGAACTTCACGTGGTCTCTGAGAAGATCACTGGGTGTAGAAAGGAACCCCAGCCCTGTTTCAGCTTCATGAGGATTCAAGAGCTTCCTTCTATCCTGGGGCCAGGGCCACTCTGGGATGCAGTACATTAGGCATGTACAGACAACATAGATTTGGCCAGTTTATACATAAT